CTTAATTATATGAAATCGAATAAATTATTAATAAAACAGGAACTAATATATACTCACAATTTTACAGTTTAAATTCCCAGAAATTATGCAGAGATAATTCTATGTAATTCCATAACCTATTTTAAAACCATAGTAAAAAAGGCATTTCTATGTTGTACTAAAATCTAATTTTCAATTTGAATTATTAAGTTGAAGACCGTTGTTTTAGGCTCACTTTTTCGAGTAAATAGTAAAACAGAAAAACCACAGTAAAACAGATGGCATTTCTATGATATTGTACTAAAATCTTTCAATTTGAGTTATGAAGTTGAAAAAGATCATAGTTGCAGTTGTATTTTTATTTTTCCAAACAAAATGGTTTTAGGCAACGGAAAATAAAACATACTGTATCAGAAATCTACATTAGAACTTAGCCATGTTGGTCATAGCCACATATACACTTTTTAATGGGCAATAATCTTTCTATTTTATCGATAAAGTCATGTCAAGAAGTTTTCGTTGTCCAATTTTCCTTTTTCGATCTTAACAACGCACGACACTGCAAAAAATGGTAAATAACAATCAATAGTATGACCTTCATGCAATTTAGTATTCATATAATGGACATATGATGCATAGTTTAGCGAACTTTGAAATCTCATAGTTTGCACGACATATGCTTACAAAAAGAAAACGTTGATGGCAACATCGATTTTGAGAATCTTGAACCAAATTTGATCTGCACGTTCTGATGAAAGATCAATGCCACATGTGGCTAGATTTTTTTTTTCTTTTTAAGAAAGTGAAAATATGGTATCACTCATGAGCATACCATCAGAAAAGGGAAGAGAAGGCACTAGTCCCCCTCCCCTATAATACTTTTCAAAACTTTTTCAATCTCATTTGTTTTTTTAAAACCCAGTAATAATTATTTTGTATATGAAAAAATAAATAAAAAATTTCAACAGTTTTTTAAATATTTTTTTTTATTCATCGAAAGAAATTGAAAAATACATTTTTACCTTTTCCAAAAAAATAAAAAAAATAGTAATTTTGCAACCGCTTTTCCATTTTTAAAAATATAGAAACGTCAAAATTGAGATATGCCATCGTTTCATGATATGCTCTTTAAACAAAAGCGTTATAGAATCTGTCTTGTCCCAAGAAGAAGTTTCTAATTATGACTGATGCACATTATACTAACTGTTTCTTTCTCACATTAAATAACTATGTTAAATAACTTTTTACCCTTATTTGCCCATCTCGGCCACTGTGGCTTTTCTTATTGCTTTTCTTTTTTTGTATTCTCTTTATTACTGTGGTTTCTCTAGTTTTGTTTTTCACTTTTCTTTTTTGGGAGGCAACTTTACGCTTTATGATGAAAATTACTTGTTTCTTCTCATTGACGTTTAGGAAGTCTAGAAAATGGACGCTTGTTTTTAAGCGCTTGAAACATGCCGATTGTTATTCATCATTTAATATATTTTTGAAGCTAATGAATCTTTTAATCAAGTAATATTTAACAACTTTTAAAAATTAAAGTAATTTTTAATATAATTTTTTAGTGTGCACACCTCTTACGTAGAGAATTGATTAAAAAAATTAGATTTTTTTATAAAATGCACGGTGCATTTTCTTATCTAAAATAAACGAATAATTTATTAATAAAAACTGCGGCATTTTTTTCTAAGAAAAAAAAATATTTTCCTTGTTACACCTATGGTATCTTGTTTGCAGTACCTAACTATTAATAAAAAAAATGATCTGTATTGAAATATACTCTGTACTAAATGATCTGTACTGAAATATATATTTGAAATATGTTACGACAACTTAAAATTTGAAATTTCTTTGTTTTAGCGAAAATACGAAGTGCTTGAATTTTTAAAGTATAAAAGTTCTATAGAGATGTCGGAATCTTAAATATTAGATTTTGAAACGTGCTCAATGTATTCTTAAACTTTTAGAAGGTTATTTTAGGAGTTTAAGGAAAGTTTCACTTTTATTTTTTTATCTTTCGTAGACAACTTTTCGTTTTATGTTTCAGAACATACAAAAGATGCCACAGCAACTGATTATGTAGAAAATATACCAATGTCTGTCCTTTAAAAATAATATAATATAATTGAAAATAAACTGAATTTTGTTACTTCAAAAAAAGCAGGAAGGATTGCCGTATTAAGTTTCAATGGCTTAAAATGCACAAAAATCCTTCCTGAATAAAATATATCATAATCATACGCTTCTAAGTAATTATAATATCACTGAAGTTTAGAAGGATATAAAAAAGTTTCAAATTGAATGCATAGTTTCCCGAATCTTTTTTATATTTACCGATTTATGTACAGAACAAACATATTAGTCTAAAATCGTTTCTTGTTGTTGTTAACACATTTCTATTGACCAGAAAATATAATTGATTATTTCTATTGACCAGAAAATCATAATATATGGTTCCATAATCAGAAGAGAAGAATCAGACCTTTTTGTTTTTGTTTTGATCAGTATAAAATTTTTAAAGATATTTATCTTTTGTTTAATAGTGTATGTATGCATGCATGCATATATATCTATGAATATAACTATAACTTTATATCTATATATATAACTATACATATCTATATATATACATGTATCTATACAAAAATATACATACATATATACATATATACATGTAGCTATACAAAAATATCCATATATATATACATATATACATATGTACACATATATACATATACATATATACATACATATACATATATGTATATGTATATACATATATACATACATATATATACATATATGTACATATATACATGATTTATAAAATAAAAATTTCAACTAAGGTAAATAAATTTTCCTACAATAATGCATTGTTATTTAAAGCAAAAACTGAGGGGGCATCAAATTCAACTGCGTAGCTGCATGCCAGAGAGCAGTAGATCTGTAAAAATATTTCTTTTATTTATTTCTCAAACTAAAAAATCGAATCTTATTTTTTTTTTATTCTAAAGAACTTCCTGTACATTTTAAGACACCTTCGTAATTTCAAGTTTCTGTGTCTTATAAATTGAGTGCAGCAAAACAAAAGTTAACATTACATCGCAAAAAGAGCAATTAGAAATGCAATGACTTTCGAAAAAATACTCTGTTAACTCGTTGACAAATATGGATGGCTTTCTGAGAATACCAAATTTCAACTTCGTCGTTGCTATCCTGTAGCCGGTATTTTTCCCATCAAGTTAAACAGTTAATTGAGGAAGACATATTTTTCAACAACAATGGGTAAATAATCATTATTTACAGCAAAAAAATAAGAAAAATCTCGAAAAAGAACTTAAAAATGCTATAAATTTCACGCACTACTGTAATTTAAAAAAACAAACTCTTGTTAAAGTTCATGAAAAAAATGGCCTATTTAACACGTAAGTTTTCAACTTCGTAGTTGCATTTCAGTAGGCTGCTAAGAGGCCATCGTTGTATTTTTACTACAAGCTCAAAGATAAATAATTCTCGCATTTAAAGTTTTTCATTCCATCGAATTCTCTGTTCAAGTTTTTAAGTCTTTTAGGTTTAGCTCCGCAAAACAAAAAGTACGTAAAGTTGGTAACCCAAAACAGCGCAGGCTGTTTTGGGTTACCAACTTTACGTACATTTTCTAACCGTTGCTTTTATGATTTCTAACATAGACAAAAACAACGTTTTTGTTAATGATCTAACCTCCCCCCATACTTTTTCCAAATTTATTTTAGTGCTTACAATGATGACAAGTCGTAGTACCACACTGTTCTGATGATAGTATGTAAGAGATGATGGATCATCTCTAACATAGTATGGCTGATTTACTTGATATATCATCCGAGGTAAGAATATTATTTAATTTCTTAATTTATTTTATTTGGTAATAATTCAGAATAGAACAAAAACATTAAGGATTAAAAAAAGCAATAACAAGCCACTTTTAGAATATTAGAGCTACAGTAAAAGTGTATAGTCAAATGAGGCAATTTATTTGTAACAAACGGAAATTCGTGTTTTTTTTTTTCTAGACAAATTGATTATTTAATCCTTTGACGCAAATGTGACACCGATGTCTATTTTATATATTTTTTTCTGAGCTCAAATTACAAGCAAAAATAAATTTTCGAATAATAAAAAATAGTCTAATTGTTACAAAAAATATCTGTATTGCATAACTATAAATTATTAAAATTCTAAATATAATATTTTCTCACTTATTTTGTCCTAGGTTTATACAAAGTAATGAAAAAGTACGTAAAATATGTATAGTAAAAATTCTGCGTCAGAGGGACTTACTAACCTATTGAGCTTACTAACCCTTACCAAAGGAACGCCAATTTATGATACACGTTTTAAAACAGAAAGTACATATTTTGCTTTGCGTGTTGATTCCTTTGAACACTTACTTTTATTACATATCACATGAACGCGGTGCTCTGTTGTTGTACTAAAAAGCTATTAAATGATTACAAAGGAAATGCTCGCTTAGTAAAGTTTATGTAGTGATATCTGAATAACCTGCATAATACTTTACCACTGATAAAATATTAAGCTTAATAAGCATTGAAAACCGCCACATTATTCGGGATAGTCTGGTAGGCCGGGCGCTGGAGTTCACATTTGTGAGAACAGGAGTTTGAATCCAGAAGGCCGAAGACTTCCCGTGTAGTAAATGGGAACCGGTGCCCGCTAAATCTGTCCGATCACAAAGTCCTCAATGTTCCCATAACAAATCAAACCTCTGGGGGTACAGAATTGGATGATTGATCGTTCTCTGGTTCAGGTCAAAATTACGATCCGAATGGGTCCGTCTTCTAAACGGGTGTGACGTATGGGTGAGGCAGAAGTCGAATTCTTGTCCATAGATGGCGCCACAGGAAAACAAGAACAATCGCACCCCATCGGTCTTAATGGCCGACAACAACAACAGTCACATTTGTTAAAAATAGAAGTTGATTAGAGATTTTAAATTTTTCCTAAAAGAAACAGTTAAATTTTTTTTCTCTGTTGCAGGTGACGAGTGAAGAAGTGGTTATTGAAGAGATCCCTTTATTAGCATTTCGAATCCTTGGCTGCACAGTTGTCACGTTTTTAGTTGGTATCACTATCATCATCTATGTTACTGCTGGGTAAGTATCAAAATTGCGTTTCACTTTTCATTTCAATTTATTCACTCAACTTTCTGCTATACTATTTAAATCTCAATAGTTACAACAATTAAGGATTTTCGAGATTATTTAAAATTCAGTATTTGGAAATCCCAATTTAAAAACCAATCTTTCATCGCAATCTTTACACAACAGATTCGCCTTCTAAGAGGACGCTATACCACAGGAAAAAATTTTAATAGCCAATTCTGTTTCCCTTCCATTACTAATTTAAAAGAAAGAAAAAGTGAGTTCAGGCAAGCCTAGAGTAAGCCGTAAAATTTCAATTGCTAAAATAAAATTGAATATTTTTTCTCCGATGCCTTCTTCTTCCTTATCCCAAAAATTAGCAGGGCTAAACAATGTCCATGAAATTCATGGACATTGACCCGGAGGAAGTCGGCCATTAAAAGTGGGTTATTTAGAATGTCCCTTTTGTCCAGTCCAAGACAGTCCAGCATATGTTGGGCAGAAGCCTGCATGTTGTGGCACCTGGGGCACTTTAGGAAGATTTTAACACTATACTCGAAAGAAAGAGACTTAAGGTGGCAGCTGGTAAGCGCCGTCTGGTCCTTGCGGTTGAACCGAATGTATGCCTACCTTTCGTCACACAAGCACCTGAATGGCAAATTTGTTGGCCACTCTTTCAGGAGCATCATATTAGATGGGCCAACGTTGCACCTACAGTAAGGACAGATAGTACAGAGAAAGAACATCCATGCCTTGCCCGGGATTCGACCCAGAACCTTTCTGATGCAAGGACAGTTCCCTGACCCCTAATACAGGCCGGTCAGCGAATAAAATTGAATATTAAAATGCATAAAATTGTTGGAAGAGAACTTTCCTATTGCGCAATCCTAAGTAATGTTCTCTCATTAAATATATAATACATAATAAATAATGCTTATTAATATAATACGTATTAAATATGTACATCATGGGTAATTTTAGGTTTGTCTGAATTTGCTTTCTCCTACTTTAAATTTTAAATTACTTAAAGAGAATTTGAAATTTGGAATAAAACAGAATTTGGGATGAAAAGTTTCTCCTATGGTTTGCAAGGGGTTTTTGTGGCTTCCCGTTCTTGTAAAACAGGAAAAGGGGAGAGAAACTATTGCGAACAGCTGAAATAATTTAATTACTTATTAGTCATATTTTCTTTGAACTTTTTAGAAAGTTTTCAAAACCATGTTACATTTTCAATTGCATAACATATTTTATTGTTGAATTGTAAATTATAAAAGGAAGTTGGAAAAGTGAACGTTTAATTAGTATTTCAGGCTATCTTTATGTATTGTTTTATTTAAGAGAACATTTGTTATTCACGAATATGCTTATTGCATATTTTAATAGTAACTTTTGATTTGCATATTTTTAATAATTGTATAATAGGCTTAATAAACAAACAAATGACTCTTTGGGGCTAGAGCGGGCATATCAATATTAGGTTTTCTGTGATAATATAGATTAATTTCTAATACACCAATTATTAGACTATTTATTTACTAAATTACATTAGAATCTAAATTAGATTGTCGACAATCATCTTCGATATTTTAGGATTTTATTAAATTAACTTTATTAATTTTGCAGTGTATGTACTAATGCTATGATAAATTTCAAGTTTTTTTTATTTTAAAATATTTATTATGAACGTGATTTTTTTAAATTTTTTTTTAATAGTAATTGCAGTATCTGTTCTTCCAGAATACTTTTGAGGGTTTGTATTCTTGATTTTTAAGAATTGCCTTTCAGTAGACATTTAAGAGTGATTTTTCAAACTTACTTGATCAAATAAAATTCGATTACTATTTAAATTATACTTTTTCTTATTAAAAAATTTTAAAATAGATTTAAAATGTGGCTATTTGTTTTTGACATAGATTATACAGAGCTGGCATGCATCAGTTCTTAATAACAATTAGTATATATGTAACTTAACATTGTTACAAAAGTACTTTTTATGTTACAATCAGTTTTATTACGATTTTACTTGTTTTGTTTTTTTAATAAGCAAAAATTAATTAAATAGTCAACTCTATGACCAGTCCATCCCCATGTCATTGGGCTAGGGTTAATAAAAACTTTAAAAAATATATTATGAGAAAAAGTATATTATTAAATAAGCTAATGCACCGTTCAAAATGAAGATTAACGCTTATATTTTGAGTGCTCGCCTATCCCCTGAGCCACCATGATACGAATTCTGCAATCGGATCGCACCGACCACAGTGCTGACATAAAATATTCTCAGTTGCAGATGGATTAATGTTGTGATGTAAAGTAATGTAGTTGTAAAAGGGGTTAGAACAGTCCCCATACCGTTTGGCTAACCGTGGAAGGTTTAGTTCTCCGCAAATGCGGGTTAGTTCTATCAAAAAGTTCTCCCCAAATGCAAATTTCTCTCAATATTTGATCTAGGAGCTCTCTTGTTTTCTAGTAGGGTTCAAAATTGCAGGGCTACGGAGTTGAACACTGGTAGTCTTCAACTCAATATTGAGTCTGTTATTCAACGGTTATAAATTATAAAATAAAAACTTTTATATTTCAATATAATAATATAAAATATATTCAAAATTACGTTTCGTATATTTTATTAAAAAAATTTATAAAAAATGTTTCCACTATCCCCCTTTTTCTATCTTAGCGTAGCGTTGGGGGGGGATTAGATAAACCTCAAATTTTCTTTAAAGTTATTACTTTTATTAAAACTCCAAACCTCCCAATTGCTATTTTTTTAAATTTAAAAGTTTAAATGCTTAAAAAAAATCAAAAACTTTCGAAAGTTTATGCATATTTAATGAAATAATTTTATGATTAGCACTTTCATGTAAAGGCTTTCTTAAAAACCAGTTAAAGATTTTTTTTGAAGTTGTTACATCTCGAACTCTATGAAGAGAAAAAAAAATCAAACAATTTTTCATTGAAACAAAATTTAAGCATGATTTTTTTTTTATTCAAATGGTATTTAGGGGTTATTTTAGTTTAGATTAAGCGAAATATAATTTTAGTTTAAGTCAAAAGTCTCTTAGTATAATTTTAATTTGCTGGATATCAGTTTTACTTTCATTTTACAACTTTACTCGCCAACCTCCATGGTTAATTTTCAATAATTTGTTTTTTAAAATTCTTAAAAGTCTATATTTAAAAAACAAATTATTTAACGACATGTAACATCTAATGTCCCTCGTTCAATTTTTTAAATTTTTTTAAAAATTATTTTTATATTGTTGTTGCGATTGCTTTTGAAATCAAGTCTAAGCTCATAAAATGAAAGTTTCGACTGAGAGAAAGTTTTTCGTCAATAACGTGTAAATAGTTATTAAATTCCTTAAAAGCACTCTTAAAATTTCAATAACTTTCAAACAAATTAGAATGTAAAAAAAAATCGCTTTAAATTGATAAATGAACTTAAAGATTTTCAGCACGCAAATTTCAACTCTGTACTTGTGAGCGATTCTGCAAATTCAAATTAAACAGTTGATAATTCTTGAATTAATAACCGAATTATTTTTTATTGCATCAATTATTTTTTATTGCACCGAATTATTCTACTTGAAAATTTTCTAAAAGCACTTAATCAAGTTGAAGCATTTTTAAAAAAGAACTTGAATAACCAAAACTGATCCTCTCAGAACATCAAATTTAAACTCTGTAGCTCTAACGTTGCATTCTCGCGATCTGCAAAGGAAGTGCATGGCATTTTTTGGTGCAAGTTTAGCCGTTTATAAATCTCTGACTAATTATACAATGTTATACAAATACTAACTAACACCAATTAATAACCACCCTATACAATTTTAACTAGCACTTTGGGATCTCACAATTTTTTAATAAAGAAATAATTTTATTCCATAGTAGCTAACAACGTCAGCTTGTTTTAAGCTCAAAGATTATATTCTGATTCGTTTCAATCATAAATGTTTACGCAAATTTTGAGCGATTTTGATTATTTCTTTAAATTGGGCAGATAAATAAAAGTATAACTAATGAGTTTCAACAAAAAATCGAACTAATGTAATATTGAAAATAAAAATCTTACTTTTAATGCCTGGAATAAGACAATCGAAATTATATTCCATCAGTTTTTCCTGGACGAAAACAGTTCTAAAATTAACGTAACGTGAAAGCAGCGAGCAGTGAACTGATAGTAAATACTTAAACTTTCGTGTATCTTTCACCTGTAGCATTGTCGTTGGAAAATATAGTTCCGCAGACTCTAAGTTCGTCACTGAAAGCTTATTATTTTTTTAAAGATGAATAATAAGGTTATAAAAAGGAATTTTTCAGTTACTCATATTTAAAACAAATCGTTAGCAGAAGTTAATTTCCATTTTGTTTGATTTTGAATATTGAAATGTACGCAATACGTATTACTGAAAAAATGTAATATTCAAAAAAATTCAACATTGAAAAATGTAATATTTTAAAATGTAATATTGAAAATAAAGCTTTTAAAGTCTGGAATAAGATGATCGAAATTGTATTCGATCCGTTTTTTCTGGACAATTAATTTCAAAATTAACGTAACGTGAAAGCAGTGAACTGATATTACATACTTATTTTAAACTCTCGTGTATTCATTTTTTCACCCACAGCCTTGTCGTTGCGAAATATAGTTCCGTAGATTTAAGAGATAGAAATTCTTCACCAAACGCCTTTTTTTTAATGAATAATAAGGGTACAAAAAGAAATCTTACAGTTCGGAATATTTAAAACAAATTGTTTGCAGAAGTTAATTTTTATTTTGTCTATTTTTGAAAACATGTGTTTTATATTCGATAAAGACAACATAACAATTTCGCAACATTGATACAAACATAATAATTTCAAAATAAGTGCGTCTATGTATTCAAATTTGAGTGATTCTTTTTTGTCCGTGTGGATCAATGTATTCTGAAAGAAAAATAACAATAAAAATAAAAAAGTAAAAGATAGATTTCCGAACGAAAGAGAAAAACAACTAGCTGCTTTTAGAGATTTCGTGGAGTTGAAATTGTAATATTTCTTTATTGGTTGCATGCAATATGTAATTATGTTTCTTCAACTCATAATTTAAAATATGCATGAAAAGTCCTCGCTTTATGAAATTTCAGATTGTATGAAATGCATTGTTAAACATAAAAATATATTTCTACACACTCAAAAAAGGTTAATTTTAAAGTGGAATATTAGTACTTAGTTTTAAACTTAGCTTAGTTCTGCATCGTCAATAAGACTTAGAATTAAACGAGTTTTCTTTCAGATTGAATCATTAGATAGTACAAACAAATTTAAAAAGATTAATTTTCATTATAATATTATTCAAATTGGTTACGCATAGCAGTTCCAGAAATTGAAAAAATATGACATGTCTAAATTTCGAACAGTGTATGATGAAGGGTTTACTATGTAAATAACAATGATTTTCCTTTTTCTTTTTCTAGAATGTTTCATGTAGATTGTTTAGCTCAGATCTGTTGCGAATGCAGTATTTTTATAGCCTATATGCTCATTCTTCTCACAACTACAGAGTCATTCAGGATTAATTCTGTAAGTTTTCACTGCCTTTTGTCAAATAATGCTGCTGTTAATGATATAGTAAGACATTTCTGAATTCCTATTATATTAAATAAACATTCTAAAATGCATTTTAGCAGTTTCGAAGGGTTTGGACTTGTTAACACGTGTGATAGCATCAAACAAAATACTGTAGCAATAACTGGGCCACCAGTCTTTCTTATAAAAAAGGTAGTCCCGCAGCGGACTTATTGTAAAGACACGGTTCCCAGTAGAACACCGAAGTCAAGCATCACTGGCTGCGGTCAGTGTGCGGGTGGGTGACCACTTTGATCAGCTTACGTAGGGACCGAGGGTGCGCGTTATCGGTTCTCGTTAAGCTCTTCTAGTGTAAAGTGCTCGACATCGCTCGCAGGTTGTTGGGTTACCAAAGCTGGGGAGCCGTCCCCTCTGCTGAGGATCAAAATTTCGATGACATGTCTTCGGAACATTTTCAGGGATGTTTCCCAGACCGTCGCCAATAGCCCATTGTGTAGCTCTAATGCGACGTAAATAAAGTACTTACCTACCAATCTATAAAAAAGGTAAGAAAAAAATATGGAACGTTTTGCGAACGAAAACAGTTTTATATTTCTAATGGTTTGTAATATTTTTGAAATAAGTGGTCACAGACTGGGCTCGCGGCCTCGGAAACAGTTAAAACTTATTTCTCATGTTTTGTTTCAGTTATATTCATCCCAGTTGAGGAGTGTATCGCATATTGCATGAAGCTGATTAAACAGCTCGCATTAGATCCTTTAAAGTGAATGTAAATCAAACTAAAAATGTATGCATCCAAATTAGAAAATACACAGTTGACACTAGAAGGTCAACTGTGGTGACCTTCTAGTGTCTATTGACTGAACGCAACTAGGTATGGTGCCAGTTATTGATGCCATGCACTACATAGAGCAAACGGTCATGAACAAATAGTATATAGGTAAATGTCTTAGGGACTTAGGGTAAAGAGGATCGAATCTGCCAGCTCCAAAACAAGCAAACACCATGACCTCCAATAAATTCTTTGCTGTTGTTGATGAAGTGCGCGGTGATAACAGCTGTGCTTTTCTGATTTTACATGCATCCATTTTCAGCACGACTTTACGTTCTCCTTAAATACTTTCATGAGAATTGATTTAATCAGTTATACTCTGTCTGCAGTGCACTTCTCTTATCTTTTTATATCCCTGAATGGTGGCGCTGACATTGCTACTGTATTTTTGACTCTATATATGCTTGTCTCTTTTCATTTGAGCAACTTTTATATTTCTATAGAGTAATTTGTTACCCAAAATTTCTCTCCATTTGTTACCAAAAATAATAATTAACATTCATTATTATTTTTTAACTGTTATCAATATATATTAAATTAAATATTTTAATTATTATTTTATAATAAATTTATTTAATATTAAATTTAATATCAAATTTTATTTAATATTAAATTTAATTTCAAATTTTATTTAATATTAAATTTAATATCAAATTGTGTTTAATTTTAAGTTTTATATCAAATTTTATTTAATATTAAATTTAATTACAAATTTTATTTAAGATTAAATTTATTTTAAACTAGTTGAATTGAAACAAAAAATGACCCAGCCCATTTTCATTTTCCATTAGTCAATGTGCCTGACCATCTCCATCTTCTTACACCTGTTTTTCGTGAGTGCCTCTCTATTTCTCCTTTTGGAAGTGATATGCATGTGCCAACTCCTCACCACTTATTTTCCAAAGATCATCGAAGCCTCAGTCAAAAACGTCATGCTTATTGGTTGGTGTAAGTATGAATTTGCACCAATCACCAGTATTTTGTTCAGTTTACAATATAACGTGCTACAGTATAGTTTATATTCTTCTTTTTCTTCAGCATTTCCAGTTGTAATAACAGGAGTAACTGCCATTGTATGCCACAATCAGTACACAACGAAAAAGAAGTAAGTATTCGAGTCGTACAAATATGTATGACATAAGTCTGTTACTGGACGGAATTCAATTTATTTTACTTTATTAACGAATTTGAAAAGCGGACCCAATTCTGAGTTTACGGCTACCCTTGTTCAACTCCGTAGCCCTGTAATTTTGAATCCAACCTAAAAGACAAAGGAACTCCTGGATCAAATAGAGGGAGAAATTTGCCGTCGTGGAGAACTTTTTGATGGAACTAAACCACATTTGCGTTACATGGTGAGGAAAATCATGAAAACCGGCCACGGTTAGCCTGACGACAAGGGATCTCTAACCCATGATCCGTCTATCACTGAGGATGTTTTATGGCACCACTGTGGTCGGTGTGTGGCTGATTGGGGAATTCGTATCGACCAGTCGTCACAGGGATTCGAACTCAATTCGCCTCATTGGTTTGCCTCAAACTTAAGGCTCTATCACCTGAGGCACCAAGGCTCTTTCAGAATTATTGGGTCACACTTTAAGGAGAGATAGGGGCCGTCACAAAAGGATTCAGATTTGTATACCAACCAATGGTCTGAAACGTCTTCTTTCTGCCCTATGTGTTGTTATTCACAAGTGGGCCGATTACCTGGCCACCACGTTCTCCTGATTTCTTTCTTTGGGGTACACTGAAAAGTGCTGTGTACGCAACACCTAATAATTTTGAAATGAATCTGGTTGCAAGAATCGTCTGTGCTGCTGCGAATATCCAACAAAATCCAGGTGTATTTGAGCGATTTCGCCAATCCATGGCTTCACATGCGTTATAATTAGCATTGCTAGAGATACGTGCGTTACACACGCACGTATCACTAGCAATGCTGGATACTTTGGACATCTTTTGTGACATTTTCACAAATTATATACCACAGCACATGTAACATCTTTAACCAATAAATTGTTTCTTGTTTCCTGAAACTGCCATACTACTTTCCATTGACGTTTGACATGGTTTTCTATGCCTTTGTGAGTCCTCTTGATGTCCTCTACCTTCCCATAGAGTTTGCCCCAATAATCCAGGGACATCCTGTATAAAAGGGGGATTTGTGAGCTGGTAAAATCCGCTTTGCTCGGATGAAAATGCACTCACAATGGTAATAAATGATCAGCGTACACGTATCTCAATTTATCAATATTTATGGCAAGTTTGTTGGAAACAATAGTTTTAATAATGGATACCGTTAATTTTTATACTTACGAAATGGGAATCACAATATAGTCTCTATCTTTTTAGCTGCTGGCTCAACACAGATGAGTCACCCTATTGGCCTACCCTGATACCCATGATGGTATTTTCTTGTCTTCAAATAGTTTTGATACTAATTATAACAGTGTTCCCATCCCATGTGTCATTGCCTGAAGAACTTTATAAGAGAGCCAAGTAAGTTGTTTTTCTTAGAAAATCAATATTGTAATGAGAAAAGACTAAACAATTTGACCATTCCGTGATTTAGTGTTTTTTTAGGATACTTTTTTACTTGTAAAAAGTAATAATACTATAGAAAGTATATTTGATTAAGTTTTAGTTCATATTGTATTTTTTTAAAATATGTTTTGTTTTAAGATATTCATGCGAGTTCGCTTTCCTTTCTCTTGTTTTTTGCCCCTTCCTTTTCTTATTACCAATAATTTTAATAATTTTTCACCAATAATTTAAATAATTTATCAACAGGAAAACTTAAAAAAGCACTCAAAATGTATTTTTCTACTTTTTATTGATGTTTTTAGGTACTCAACTATCACTTCCTGTTCAATTTATTCCTGCAGGGTTCACACGCATCAGGAAAAAATTAAAAAGTGGTAGTAATGTTAATATAATTTTCTTTAAATATTATTATATTTGTACTACTAGATAGACTTATGTTGCTACTAGAATATTTTATTTCCTCTAAATAAATATATTGATCTGAAGGAGGAGGATATGAAATTTTAATTCGAAAGTGGGAGCAAATATTAAGAAATTTTCAGGTTCTTTAGAACAAAATTGATACTAGTTTTTAATTTTTTCCAGGTACTTTCGTACACTGTCCTCTCTTTTCGTACTTCGATTGTACTCGCTTTCAAAATCATCAGAAAGTCCTAGGGAGCCCCTATCAAGTAATAAAAGGAACACAATCACAAAATTAAGAGGCTATTTGTATACAGGTGTAAGAAATTAAGAGCACCAAATAAGCATTGCTTTTTGAAGATACACCCCTTCCTACATCCATCTAAATTTAAAGGGTGATTGGTTGATCAGAAAGGGTTGGAGGTGCGATTTGAAACAAAGAGAACGCGCTGATTGGCAAGACATATGTTTTAAAACTAGACCAGTAAGAGAGAAATCGCGTATTTATTTTGTGATTTTTATTTATTTATTTTTAAATTGTATCTTGCAAATATTCTTCTTCGGGGTGCGTAGCCAAATTTTTCAACAAAAAATAAGCCCCTTTTAAGCACTTTTCAAGCACTCAAAAAATATTTTTAAGCACTTTGAAAAATATCATAATCAGACAGGGTTGGCAAGTTTTTGACAATTGATGACTTTATCAGGTTTGTAACGAAGACGATGGCGCGTCACAAAAGATGAAATTAACAGGAGAAATGAAATTTTCTATCGCTAATAGAGAAAAAAAATTGACACTGTTTAGTTGGTCCCCGTAATCAGCAAAAATTCGAGAGATTTTTCGATTCTATTACAGAGGGGGGGAAATGAAGTCTGAAGTCGAGAATCTCTTGCAAAATGCAGCAGGGTTCAAGGGCACCGGCAGAATAATATAAAAGGGGGTGCAACCCTCTAACAAACTACCCCCCCCCGCCAAAATTTTCTTTAAATATTCTGTTATTACATTTTGTTTTGTTATTACATATACTTTCATCTGTTAATTTTTTTCAAGATGCATTTCTTCATTGTTAACAAGATATTTAAAAAAAAGTACAAATTTCCTGTACTTGCAAATTTTGCCACGAGAAACTGTATTGATGGCGCTGGCATAGCTACTGACTTTGAAACACAAATAACTACAAACAGTAGTGTGCTGATGAAGTTTTACAGTTGTGAGAAGTCAGTTTGTGTTATACACCTTTGTTAAACTAAATAACTAATAGAAAATATAATATTATTTATACATTTTNAAAATGACCCAGCCCATTTTCATTTTCCATTAGTCAATGTGCCTGACCATCTCCATCTTCTTACACCTGTTTTTCGTGAGTGCCTCTCTATTTCTCCTTTTGGAAGTGATATGCATGTGCCAACTCCTCACCACTTATTTTCCAAAGATCATCGAAGCCTCAGTCAAAAACGTCATGCTTATTGGTTGGTGTAAGTATGAATTTGCACCAATCACCAGTATTTTGTTCAGTTTACAATATAACGTGCTACAGTATAGTTTATATTCTTCTTTTTCTTCAGCATTTCCAGTTGTAATAACAGGAGTAACTGCCATTGTATGCCACAATCAGTACACAACGAAAAAGAAGTAAGTATTCGAGTCGTACAAATATGTATGACATAAGTCTGTTACTGGACGGAATTCAATTTATTTTACTTTATTAACGAATTTGAAAAGCGGACCCAATTCTGAGTTTACGGCTACCCTTGTTCAACTCCGTAGCCCTGTAATTTTGAATCCAACCTAAAAGACAAAGGAACTCCTGGATCAAATAGAGGGAGAAATTTGCCGTCGTGGAGAACTTTTTGATGGAACTAAACCACATTTGCGTTACATGGTGAGGAAAATCATGAAAACCGGCCACGGTTAGCCTGACGACAAGGGATCTCTAACCCATGATCCGTCTATCACTGAGGATGTTTTATGGCACCACTGTGGTCGGTGTGTGGCTGATTGGGGAATTCGTATCGACCAGTCGTCACAGGGATTCGAACTCAATTCGCCTCATTGGTTTGCCTCAAACTTAAGGCTCTATCACCTGAGGCACCAAGGCTCTTTCAGAATTATTGGGTCACACTTTAAGGAGAGATAGGGGCCGTCACAAAAGGATTCAGATTTGTATACCAACCAATGGTCTGAAACGTCTTCTTTCTGCCCTATGTGTTGTTATTCACAAGTGGGCCGATTACCTGGCCACCACGTTCTCCTGATTTCTTTCTTTGGGGTACACTGAAAAGTGCTGTGTACGCAACACCTAATAATTTTGAAATGAATCTGGTTGCAAGAATCGTCTGTGCTGCTGCGAATATCCAACAAAATCCAGGTGTATTTGAGCGATTTCGCCAATCCATGGCTTCACATGCGTTATAATTAGCATTGCTAGAGATACGTGCGTTACACACGCACGTATCACTAGCAATGCTGGATACTTTGGACATCTTTTGTGACATTTTCACAAATTATATACCACAGCACATGTAACATCTTTAACCAATAAATTGTTTCTTGTTTCCTGAAACTGCCATACTACTTTCCATTGACGTTTGACATGGTTTTCTATGCCTTTGTGAGTCCTCTTGATGTCCTCTACCTTCCCATAGAGTTTGCCCCAATAATCCAGGGACATCCTGTATAAAAGGGGGATTTGTGAGCTGGTAAAATCCGCTTTGCTCGGATGAAAATGCACTCACAATGGTAATAAATGATCAGCGTACACGTATCTCAATTTATCAATATTTATGGCAAGTTTGTTGGAAACAATAGTTTTAATAATGGATACCGTTAATTTTTATACTTACGAAATGGGAATCACAATATAGTCTCTATCTTTTTAGCTGCTGGCTCAACACAGATGAGTCACCCTATTGGCCTACCCTGATACCCATGATGGTATTTTCTTGTCTTCAAATAGTTTTGATACTAATTATAACAGTGTTCCCATCACATGTATCATTGCCTGAAGAACTTTATAAGAGAGCCAAGTAAGTTGCTTTTCTTAGAATATTAATATTTATAATGAGAAAGGACAGAATAATTTGACCATTCCGTGATATTTTAGGATACTTTTTTTTACTTGTAAAAAGTGATAATACTATAGGAAGTATATCTGATTAAGTTTTAGTTCATATTGTATTTTTTTTAATATGTTTTGTTTTAAGATATTCATGCGAGTTCGTCTTCCTTTCTCTCGTTTCCCCCCCTTTTTTTTAATTAAATGGCGACTCGATTGATTGGGAATATATAGGCTTCCCGTTACGAGTTAGCGTGCGCAAAGTGAGAGTAAAGCGAGCCGGTAGAGTTTACTCCAGCGATTTAGGGGAAGAAGGGAAAGAAAATCAAAGCAAAAGAGAATCGGGAGAAAATGAATATATATTCCTTAATTTGGAGTACCGTAGAAAAGAAATAAATAAAAAAATCTAACTTATTTTAAGAGGTTTCTATCGTAGAGAACTAAAGAATCTGATTGGTACGCCAGTTTGGAATTCTCGCCAATAGAAATACGTTCATATTTTGTTCGCTTAATTTTCCCAATTAAAGGTGAACTCTTCCAATGGGTTTTACCAACTTGTCGTGGATAAATAATACCTAAAATGAAATAAACAAATGAAATTAATGAAAAATATGAATTTAATCAAACAGAAGTGAAGTAATACAGATTTAAAACTATTTTTTTGTTTATTTAATTCATCTTAAGCCCTTTTGTCTTGTCATCTTGGATTTTTGGTTAAGAATTTAAATTTTCGATTTTAATGTTTTTTGTTTGTATTTAACAAACTTTTAATGTTAGACAGACAATACGTGTATAAGTAAGGAGGAAATTAAAGGCTCTGCTCCATTAGACAGGAATAAGCACTGTTAGCTCTTTCTAACAGATTTTTTTCTTGAGAACTTTAAAAAATAAAATTATGCAATTAAATATTTTGGATAGATAATTTAAAGCTGTAATTTTTTCCTTCATCAGGTTCCTTAGAATTCATATTTTTTTTCTGTTTATACTGACGGGAAAAAAAAGACAATTTGTATCATAATGAAAAAAAAATCGTTAAATATAAATTACTAAAAAAAAGAAGAAAAAAAAAGAAGAAAAAAAAACATTTTTCGAAGTTCTAGAAACAGAAAAATATATAACACTGCGACCAAATTATTACAATAATTACGTTTTTTTACAACCATTCAAAGATATATTAGAAACAAGACTTAATTACTTTTTAAACATGCTTTATTAAAAATTTTCTTTTACATTGAATAAGTTGTTGGGATAGTATTGAATAAGGTTACTTGGGGACCTAGTAAAACCTACTACCTTGATTCAATATGCGCGATTCAAAGTGAAGCATGGCATTGATTTAATATTTTTTTTTTCCTTTTTGTTTTTTACAGTTCTTATTTTACTATGATCCTACATTAAAATGTTAGAAAATCTAGTATTAAACTACAAAACCGTTTTTAAATTTTCAATTGGGTCCAATTTGTTTGAAATATGCTTTGAGGCGTACATAAACTAGAAATGAGAAGTTAAAATGTAAGTCGATAGAAAATAGGCTTAGTCTAAAAAATTATAAGTCAGTACCGTCCTTATGCATGGGCGCACTTGGGCAGTTCCCGAGGGTCCCATGCACGCTCAAGGGGCCTTTAAGATTATTACTTTTTATAAATTTGTTGCATTTTGTTTTTCATTCTACAAATAGTAATTGATTATCATGCTAACACCAATAATTTAAATAATTTATCACCAGGAAAACTTAAAAAAGCACCCAAAATCTATTTTTCTACGTTTCATTGATGCTTTTAGGTGCTCAACTATCACTTCCTGTTCAATTTATTCCTGTAGGGTTCATACGCATCAGGAAAAAATTAAAAAGTGGTAGTAATGCTAATATGATTTTTTTAAAAATATTATGTTTATAGCCACCAGAATACATTATTTCCTCTAAGTAAATATATTGCAGATCTGAAGGAGGTGGATATGAAATTTTAATTCGAAAGTGTGAGCAAATATTAAGAAACTTTCAGGTTCTTTAGAACAAAATTGATACGAGTTTTTGATTTTTCCAGGTGCTTTCGTACCCTGTCCTGTCTTTTCTTACTTCGATTGTACTCGCTTTCAAAAACATCAGAAAGTTCTTCTTAGGGTTCCCCTTTCAAGTAATAAAAGGAACACAATCATAAATTCTACTAGCTTAAGAGGCTATTTACATGCAAGTGTAAGAAATTAAGAAGTGCACCAAATAAACATTGCTTTTTGCCATTTTGCCGATACACCCTTTCCTCCGGACACCACCCATCTAAATTCAAAGGATGAATGTTTCATCAGAAAGGGTTGGGGGTGCGATTTGAAAGAAAGGGAACGCGCTGATTGGCGAGATATATAGGATACCTGTATGTTGTAAAACTAGACCAGTAACGAAAGAAAAATCGTATATTTATTTTGTGACTTTTATTTATTTATTTTTAAATTGTATCGTGCAAATATTCTTCTTCAGAGTGCGTAGCCAAACTTTTCAACAAAAAATAAGCACCTTTTAAGCACATTTCAAGCACTCAAAAAATACTTTTAAGCACTTTGAAAAATATCATAATTAGACAGGGATGGCAAGTTCTTGACAATTGATGGTTTTATCCGGTTTTATTTACAGTGACGAAGACGATGGCGCGTCACAAACGATGAAATTAACAAGAGAAATGAAACTTTCTATCGCTAATAGAGAAAAAAAAATTGACAATGTTTAGTTGGTCCCCGCGTAAACAGCAAAAATTCGATAGATTTTTCGATTCTATTACAGAGGGCGAAAAATGAAATCTGAAATTGAAAATCCCTTGCAAAATGCAGCAGGGTTGCACATGAGAGTCAAAAATCCTTACCACTGAATCCTGCTTAGTATACGCAAGTGCGGACCAGCAAGTATTTCATCAAACATGCAAAACAAATGGTGTTTTCATACACTAACCGCCGAAGTAGATTGAGGTTAAATTAATTGTGAAAACGTTGGATAAGACAATGTCTTTTTGCATAATTTGTGGAGAAAATCAACATGGTAAAGAAAAATATCACATTTCAGGAAAGGGAAAAATCAGCACTTTTTAAAAACACCCATGGAAAAAAGCACCTTTAAGGGCTTTTGAAAAACGAAAATAAGCATCTTTAATCATTTTTGAAAACCGCTAAGCACCCTGTTCTTAAATTGTTAGCATTTAGAAATTTTAGGTTGAGAGAAAAGCGACATTTTCTGAGATCTTCTCAATTATTTTTATTTCCTTTAATTATTTGATGTAATTTAAAACACCATCACTCATACACAGTTTCAGTTATTCTTCTTGATTTCCAGTAGAAATTAAGAAAAGTTGGGAAAATAATATTTTACCATTCGATTGGATAATATAGGCTACAATGATGAAGTGTTCGAATGTTGTTGAAAGTAATGATTTTTTTTTTTTTTTTAAATTTAGTCATAAAACAAAATAATAAATCCCAGTACGTAAACTTGCAAAAGTTAAAAATATTTCTTTAAATGAATTATTGAAGAACATTTATTTAGTGCTGCCATCTACTTTCTTATTTTTGAAACATTTGTACTGCGGAAAAATGTTATTTTAAAACAGATTAATTCCTGGACATTTTAACCTGTAAAAGTTTTGATTACGATAATATCCACCGTAATATATTTTTATCTCTTCCAACTTAACTGTGGAATAGATGGAGATGGTGAGGGAAAATTCTAAATATGCTTTTAAACCTCCTTATTTAATTTTCACAAATATACTGATAATGGATATTTACTCTATTTGGCAGTACCTTTTGTTACTTGCAGAATACAAGGCCGTTATTCAATTACAGTTTAAGATATAATGCGGTATTTCAGATTCTCTATTAAATTTTTTGGGGACAAAATTATGCAAATACAATTTTGCAATCAATAATTTTTAATAGGTAACAGTAAACAGTCGCTTGTTTTTAGATTTTTGATAAGTATCTTTGTTTTTATGCAATTGACGTTAAAATAATTTTTTAGCTTCACCCAAATCGGCTTTCATCTGTTTAAACTGTAATAAAATTAGATTTTAAAAAATCTAAGAAAGGGGAAACGGGTTCTTTTAAATGGCTTACTCAAAACCACAAATCGCATCATTTTATTATATAATTCCCTCTACCGTAAGAAAGTTGTAACACCCCTCCTTGTTTTTTGCTTTAACCTTGATTTATATTAATTTGAAAGAATTAATTTTTAATTCGATTTTTATTTCAGGATTTAATTTAATTGAAACTTGTAACTTTAAATGAAACCAAATTTATATTTTAATTCAGTTTATGAAAGCTCGTAAGGAATCTTATAAAGATATCTTATTTTTGTTTTTCTTTTTTGGGTCAAAACTTTCGACTTCCGAAACTCATTGAAGAAAGAATTTTGCAATCCCCCCCCCCCGTATTTTAACCTGGATTACAAATTTAAAGTATTTCCAAGTGTAATTTTTTCTAAATTTTTTAGCTACTTTTTTAGCATTTTAAAAACAAAAGTGAAAAGAAACGATTTCAGTAATACAGTCGAACCTCGCTAATTCGAACCTCGATTTCACGAATATTTCGATATCTCGAAGAAAAAAAAATTCCCTTCAATGTTAAAAGAAACTTGGTTTCTCGAATTTTTTTTTTCTAATCCCTCGATAACTTGAATTTTTCCCCATAAGTAGTGTAGATTTTTTTCCTGAAAATAAAAAAATATTCCGAAAAAAAATTTGAGATTAGAAAATCAATTCTCATAATCATAACCAATTCTCAAACAAGCACTTTCTGCAGTGGACACTGTAAGGTGATTTACTAAGAGGCTGCCGAATATGTCAGATGAACCATTTAAAGCTATAGTCCACTTTCAAAGTGTTATAGATAAACTTTCTTACACATCTCTAAAGCAAACAACAATTGAATCTTTTCAAGTGTACAAATTGCTGTTAGAATAAATATGGAATAGTAAATAAGGTAGCTATGTGAAGAGCATTTTTCTTCTACCATCGATTACATGCGATTTTCGATAATTCGATTTTTCGGTATCTCGAATTTTTTCTCCTCTCCCTTCAAGTTCGGGATATCGAGGTTTGACTGTTTTATGTAAGCATTACTCATACCTTCTTCCCCTCGTAAGCAGAAAACATTAAGTTCCCCTTCTTATATGCACAATAGTGGAAAGTACTCTCTTCATTTGGGTATGGTAGGCTGGCTTCTTTTACTTCAAACAGTGGATCTAACCTTTGCAAGGTGCATTTATCATGACGACAATCGTTTTAGCTGCGCACAATAGTAAACGAAAGTATTTGGACGTCGCCATATAAGAAACTCAACAACAAAAAAATGTAAATTAAAATTAATTTAATTTATGTTTTTTTCTCAGCACTAACATTCCATTAAGTACGCTAGTATCCATTGTCGTTAAATAAACAATCCCAAGAAACTGAAGCGATAAGATATTACTTGAATAAAAACTTCATGCGCTTCACAAATATGCAATTTAAAAATAAAAGTCGACATGTTTCAAGCGCTCGAAAACAGGCACCGATTTTCAAAACTTGCCGCACTTCTCATTCACGTCTGGCAAGTCTTGAAAATGAGCGCCTGTTTTTGAGCACTTGAAACATGTCGACTGTCATTTTCAAATTGTACATTTGCGAAGCGCATGAAGTTTTTATTCAAGTAATATCTGTTGTTGTTTTTAAATAAATTAATATTTGAAAGAAATATTTATTTACGGGTTTTTTTTAATTCTGAAGTATTGCGCAGTTTATCTTAAGAGGAGGACACCATAGATAATCCTGATAATTATTTAATAATTATTCCTTTTCTCAGTTTTGCATACAGCTAGAGTCCATTGCGAATTTAAATAAAACTGAATAATCTCTGAAGATAATAAATATAAAAATATTTGAAGAAAACTGTGACGATTTAGATCAGGGGTTTCCAACTAACACGAGGCCGGGAACCACAATTAAAAACACAAATCAAATGGCGGGCCGCAACTTTATCAAAATTTTGTGTACAACTCTTTCATGTTTGAAGGAACATTAAATATTACTGTCAGATTTTTATAAAGTTGTACAAAACAAAAGTATGGAATTACGAATTAAAATAAGAAGTAGATTTTTAAAAATATTTAATTGCATATTAAAAAATTCAGGCTACAATAACTTTAATGTGCACCTATGTATTAAACAATTAATGTGCAACAGATATCTAATTGTTAGGATATAAAACTTTAAAAAGGTTGGTATTAAAACTTACATAGTAGCACACAAAATGCTCAATGAGAAAATTGAGGATTGTCTGCTGCAGCCACCAGAGAATAAAAATTTACATTTTAAATTTAAAAATTACGAATGTGTTTGTTAATATTTTCGTCCAAAATGAGTGGTTTCAAAAAGTTAAAATAGGAGAATTTCTTCGAGAAAATTTCTGATACACACATGCTAAAACATACACGATTACTTTTGTATTTGAATAAATATTTTCTTGGATACAAAACCTGAGAAATAAATGTTTTTGCACCGTTGGTATGTTAAATTTCACAGAAACGAAGAAATTAGGTTTTTATTAACGAGAAAAGTATTTTAAACCCATATAGATTTTTTACGATAATTGCCCGCAAAAAAATGACAACTAATATATTTTAGTTCGCGGGCCACAAAAAAAAGGCTTCGCGGGCCGAATGCGGCCCCCAGGCCACCAGTTGGAAACCACTGATTTAGATTATAGTTTTAATTATAGTTGCTTGTTTTATTTAGTGCAGTTAAATAATTGTCTGTTTTACGCAGGTGCTACAAGACAACACGCTGGGCCTCAGCTATTATTACTATTATGCTGTGTTTATCGTGGTCATTTGGAGTCAGAGCTTATCATAGGGGTGAGGAAACATATTACGCAGCCTTCACTGTAGCCAGTATCTTCCTCGGAGTTTGCATAATCATTCTCAGGATATCAACTGACGAAGAGGTTTGATCAAATTTTATAACATTTTATGAGAAGCAATTGAACATTGTCTTGCATCGGGTCACCATCCTATGGGTCCCGACTCGAATCTAGGCAACACCTAGAAGAGAGAAGGCTTCCGCACGGATCAATTTAGTATTCCGACGAAAGGAACATAAACAGCGCAGTTAGGAGTATTAAGAAAGCTGTCAAAGCATCTGTGCAACTAAACTGCGCAATGGAGGGAAATATGAGAAAGCTGTCACAACATTCGGACTACTAAAGGATCCGATTTCTCATTTATGGTAACCCGCGAAAAGGCTTTTTCTCTTCTAGGAGGTGTTGATCTAGATCAGGGGTCGCCAAACTTTTTTGATCATCGACTCCTACATAATTTTTCGAAATCTTCATCGACCCCCATAAAAGTAATTTTTTGTTAATTAAAATAAAACTCTATTAGATACCGCGTTTGTACATTTATTTTGCGATTTTAAACATTTATTAAAGAAATAGTACATTGTGTAACAATCAATAGTTTTATGAAAAATACATTAATGTTGAAATTTAAATACCTTAATATTTATTAAATAAAAAGTAATTTTGAATAAGTAGAAATAATAAGTAAAGTAACTAAAGATTTATTGCTTATTAATCAATGAGATGGGNTTTTTTTTTTTTTTTTTTTTTTTTTTTTTGCAAGGTAATGGGTGCGCTATATTGAGTTCAAAATTGGTCAATTTAAATTTTCGTCAAAATTGGTCAATTTTGTAATTTTTGTAAAAAAATGTGTGCTATAGTTTTGCTGCGGGCTGTACTAATCCATATTATTAATGCTTACCTTTTTTTTTTACATGCATTGATAATTAAAATTGATATCTATACTAAACGAATGGTTTTATCAAAACAATCACTGATTATCCAAAACGATGAAAGTTTTAATAATGACACTGCAAATATTCAACGCTGTTCACAATTTGCAAAGATAGCTGAAACTGAGTATGATATTTGCGTTTGTAACGTCAATGCTCGTCTCGTGTAACATTTGGACAAGCGTACACATGCGTTTGGCTTATAAACTGTGCTTAGTTCGTGCCACTGCACGCTGGTACGTAAATACTTNTATGAGAAAGCTGTCACAACATTCGGACTACTAAAGGATCCGATTTCTCATTTATGGTAACCCACGCAAAGGCTTTTTCTCTTCTAGGAGGTGTTGATCTAGATCTAGATTTAGAACTGGGTAGCCACGGTTTCTCACAAAAAACATTTTTTCTTAGAAAAAAGAAAACTTCATGTTTAATTTTAATGTGTGCGTAGGAGATGTTGCACGGCCCTCCGTACTTCAATTTTTTTTAAAGCTATTACTTAAAAATTGTGAATTTATTTTATTAGTATAATTTTATTGACTTTTTTCGTATTATCATTCACGATGTTTGGTGAACAATCCTTTTATTTAACACGTAAAAGATGATAGGTGAAAAGAATTTGATTTTTAAAAATCGGGAACTAGAATTTCTTACGAATTACTTTATGGCAGGGTGCTAAATTTTCACTCGTCTGCTCACCATTGGCGATCAACCTATCTAAGGCTTCATATTTTAAAATGTCAAATTTTAAATTAAACTATGTTCAGATTATCGTGTCTTATTGCAAAACAAAAATGCTGAATTACACATATTTAATAAAAAAAAAAATATTTCTTTTTTAAATATTAAGACGCATTATTTTGGCTTTATTATTGCAATAAACTTGTTTCGGATATTAAGCTTCTACTTTCTTCTACGTTTTCGGTCACCTAAGAGTTGAAAATGCTGGCAGCAAACATTTTAATCTGGCTAGTATCTTTAGAACTGTAATTTCACGCACTGCTCTAGAACTCAACTGCTCCCCCTATGGTCAATAGAGAAAAATCTACGAATTTCTTTAAATACGTTTTAATTGTCAAGCAACGGAAAATAATTTGATTAAGTTTCCCTTAAATACTATTATGTACAATTATAATTTTTCTTCAATTCATTATTAAATGGCATTACGCATTCATCTAATGAGAAACCAAAAAAAAAAATTATTAACAATTTTGTCATCTTTGACTTTCTTGAGCTTATCGCTTGTTTATATATACTAAACTATAAATCAAAAATACAAAGATTACTTGGATTTCATGTAAAATAAACATTTAAATAAAATTTAAAACAAAATTCTCTTTGAATACCGAAGCAGGTCCGATAGCTGATTTCATCCCTAGTCGTGAAATGTAATTACAGTTCTTAACTACATTACAAAGTACATTACACACTACAAAGTTATTATACTACATTACAAAGTTATAGATGTTATTAAATAAAGAAATTTTGAGTGTGTTTATACACACCGGATTGCGGGCATACCGTAAGCTTTAAAATTGCGACATTCAACATGAAACTAAATGAGTACAATTGTAAACAAAATAAATTTTCTAATTATCGTTGATTTTTTTAATTATATTTTTAGTAACGAGACTTTTCAAAAGTGGAATTTTCTCATTGGCTTCACCGCAGCCATTGTTTTAAAATAAACCATAGAGGATTCAGTTTCGTCAAATATTTTCAAAGATAACATCAGTGATGTTTGCTAGCTTATAGCTCTGATTAAAAAAAATTTTATATTGCGCGTTCTGTAATACTGAATTATATTTTATTCGTTATGTCACGTTATCTGAATTATCAACGTGATCGTGGTTAGAACCCCTGAATTGATCATAGTATTGGAGTCTTAATCGTGGTAGCATAAGCGGACTACGTTATTAAATTATTTTTCTAAGGCTATCTAAAACCACGTGTTTGTTTTGTATATTTTTTTTTCTTTCTAAACGTATTATTATAAAACTAAATAATTTAAAATCAACGGTAAATGAAATAAAAAAAATTGTACTGAAAAGAAAAATTCAAGGGGATAATTTAAGGACAATATTAATGGAATTAATTCGTTGACGATAACCATAAAAAAAACTAATATTATTATAGATGCCAACAATAATTATTCTTGGTTTGGCACGACTGGCATTGGTAATTGGTTTTGCAGTTTTAATTGGTACCAAATATACTCTTATATAGATACAAAGTATTTTATGAGTAAATTGATTACAGCTGCACTAATAATGTACATTTTTATGATAGATTTATTAAGGTCCGAAGATCTATATAAATAGAAGAAAAAGTAGCTTGGTTGTGATAAATTTTAAGTATCATAATATATTTTAATTATCAGTATTTATAATTTTAAGTATCATTATTACCTTGAGTAACAGCATTATGGTATATGATACTAAATACAGTTAATTTTTATTTGGATGGAATAAACTATTAAATACGCGTTTTGCTTGATTTAATTACGTAAAGCCACCGAGAACGGCAACAAATAATAATAAATAGATAAAGAAAAAATTGGAATTTGTGCCGATTTTGAAGTGTTTTTCAGTGCTCGTTAATTGATGCCTAATATTTTTTCACCCCGTACGAAGAACGGGCATTTAGCTAGTAAAAAATAAAAGATTATTGTTCAAAATCTTTTGTTCATTTACGTTTAGCTCAATTGAAATGCTGTTAAAAAAAAATCTGGTATTAATTTGAGATCGTAATTTTTGTTTTATTAGAGTGTTAACTTTAAAAATATTGGTGAATCAAAGTTGTTTCTTTATGTCGATATTAATATATGCCGTTGTTTTCAGATGCGGGAAAAAATGACACTTTATGTTTTATGCTGGCTAAAACCTGTCAATAAAGTGAATGCATCAAATGCTAACCTGTTTTTGACCAAAAAACCTTTTTCTGAGGCACAAGAAGACTTGAAAAATGGAATGCTACCGAGTGCAGCTGACGAAACTTGAAGAATGGCGTGAATTTGTTATCAATATTTCTAATATAAGGATTTTTTCTAGAAATATCTTCCATTGGAAAGTGGAGAATATATTTTAGAGTAGCAGCAGATGAAATAACATTACGACTGAAGAATTCATGAAAAGAATGCCTTATTATTCTTACATCGAAGCTATCGAATTATTTTTAAACCAAATTTAATTAGCTCAGAAGATTTTTTTAAAATTTATATGAGGGTGCAGAGCCTAGTTTTTAACAAAAAATCCTTTTTTTCTTTTTTGAAATTTTTTAATGAAAAAAGTTATGCTATCAATTTTTATGCAGTTTTCGTCGAAATTCTAGCTCATGACAGGTTTGCTTTCTCTTCTCTATACTAGATAGCCTGAGATCGATTTCGATAGAAGCAGAATATCGCTATCGGATCATCAAAATAATAATAATAATAATAAATAAAATAATAATGAATAGAATAATAATAATAAATAAATAAATAAATAAAATAATAAATAGAATAATAATAATAATAAACGTTCAAAATAATCTGCTCTAAATATCCTCCGGAAACCTAATTTGGCNATAAAAAAATAAATAAATAAATAAATAAATAAATAAAAAATAAATAGATAAATAAATAAATAAATAAAATAATAAATAAATAAAGGAATGAATAAATAACATTTTAGGTTGCACTGCATTATTCGTATTGCAATTTTTTTTTTGTTATTGTCAATCTTCCTTTAACTATGCACCCTTTTAAAACAAAACTTGAATAACGTAAATAGACGTAAAAACGATGTTGCCATCAGATAAAAAGAAAAAATTTATTATCTATATATTTATAAGTATTTATTTTAAAGCAGTTTTATTTATGTGAATTGAACAACTCTTGGAATTAACATTTGGAAAAGAAGTAGTGTTAATTATTTATCAGCAAAAATGTGCTTTACCCTTTTAATTTAAAACTGCACCTAAAAAAGATGATCTGCATTCCAACTGGTTAAATAACACATATTTAAAATTCATGATTATTTCAAAGTAAAATTTATAGTTTTTGTTTAGAAACTGAGAGAAATGTTAAGAGATTTGATTTATTCATATTTGTTATGATGTAATATGTATATGTAAAAAAGTCACTTTACACATTTTCAAAATAAAGAGAGAATTTTCACTTAATTAATTTATTTTCTGTAAAAAAACATTTGTCTATGTACTTTAAAAAGATAATTGTAGTCTTACCGTTTTGTGCATTCTTATATATGAATACTTCTTATATATGATAATGTGCATTCTTATATATTGAAAAAAAACAAAAAGATCACACCTATGATCATTTATAAACAAAGAAGAACCAAGTATCTTCAGCATTCATCAGAATAAAATTAATATAAGTTATAAGGGAATTCATCATTAAATTATTTACTTAAACCTTTTCCTGATTATATTATTTGTTCGCAAAAATATTTGGATTCGTTAAAAAGCTCAAGAGATATGACGAAATACTCAAAAACTGAAACTAAAAATAAGAAACTCAAATTTTCAACTGCTCTCCTATCTAAATTATAGGGGACCATATTTTTTATAGTGCGGCTACTTCCTATAGTTTCATAGTCAAAAATTCAAATCTGTCGAAAAAACTGTATAATTATTCATATAAAGTACGTTTTTGTTTCCTATTTCATAATTTAATTTATGGTTTGTACTAATTAGTTAGAATATTTGATGTTCTTTTCTTTAAACAATTAAGATTTGTTTTTAGTTTTTGAAAATCTAATCATTGGAACAAAAGTTATTCAGTTTAATTTATTTATTATTTATTTATTTGACTGTACTATTCTTAACAGATTAACAACTATTCTTAGTATAATGTCGTGCATTAATGAGCACTTCTTGGCACTGATATAGTACCGCCTTTGTTTATAGTACCGCTTTTAATCTCGTTGCTCATTACACTGTTTCATTGTTATTTTCTTGCCAGCACAAAGAGAAATCAATTTCTTTTGGATTAATATGTTATCATCAACATTACTGTATACAATCGGTGTCTTTTTAATGTAACAAACTGAATATCACATGATACAATTGAGCCTACAATAATCAAAAAATATTTCTTTACGAATAGTATATAATCATGGAATGCAGATTTGATTTTATACAGTAATCAATCAGTGTGTGCAATCAGTTTAAGAAATCGAAGATGCTTACAATTTTTATTTTAGCTATGAATACTCAACCCGAGACTCCATTGCTGATCTACTTCCTCACGCACCTCTGAAGCTCAAAAAAGGCTAAGGATCAAAAATAAATCTAAATAATTACTTCGTAACTAAGTTTTTATATCTAGAAAAATACGAAATTATTCTAAATGAATACGTAATGTATGAACTATTCGACACTGCTGAAGTTATAACTTAAGACAACCTAACAAAACTACTAATACCAACCTAACAAAACTACTAATACCAACCTAACATAACTACTAATACCAAACCAACCTAATAACTACAGCATTGCCAAAAGATGGAAAAATACGTGAAGTTAGGGTGCCACATAAGAGAAATATACACTCATTGCCATAAAAATTAGCTCACCTAGAAAGAGTTGCTAATGAAACGAAATTTTACGTGTGCAAAGTACAACGTTGATAGAAGTAAGTGATTAAAAAATTAAATACAATAAAATGGTGGTTTTTCTACCCTTTAGGGTCATGTCTAGGGCGAATGTAAGATGCAATACGGTCGGGCACTGAGGCCCAAGTCCCTTATGATGTTCTACGGCATCTCGTTCCACAGTTGTTGTAAAAACAATGGTAAATCGACTAAACTAGAAGGCTATCCAATTTCCCGTGCCAGATTCTAGATACGCTCGTTCGATGACAAATCTGGGGATCAAGCAGGGCAGAGATGGGTAATATTGTGCCGGAAATAGTCCTGTGGCATCATGCTGTCTGTGGCAGAGCATTACTTGTTGAAAAGGGGCTACTGGGAGCTCTGCCATGAGTGGCAACACATACGGCTGTAGGATGTCATAGCGCCGTAGATCAATGTTATGAAAAATCGAGGGTCGTATTATATATAAATAGATAGATAAATAAATAAATAGATGCATCCAGGTTTACAATGGGATTCGAACTCGCTATCTCTACGCTTCCATTTTAGAATGTTGGGACAGCCCGAACACGTAATTGTTGAGATACTGATTTAGTTTACCCTCGTCCATTCATTTGTACATTTACAAATGCAGACATTTCATTGTTTTGTATGTTCTAGAAGTAATTTATTGCTTACATGAGAAAATAACAATTAACCGATGAGTAAGAACGTTGACAATTGTTTACTAAAGAATATAGAGGTTAGCAAACTGAACTTGTTTGCATCATCTCTAACTATACTGTTAAAATTACCGACTTTTGGTTAAAATTAACAAACTTTATAATATTTACTACCAAACAGCATGGTAATAAAAACACCTCAGTGCATAATTTTACCACAAAATTCTAAAAAACCTCTAGAATATTTCTACCATTCTGTTTGGATGGTGACATTGTATTTTTACATGTTTCGGAAGATAAATCTGATTAAACAATAATTATCTGATTATTTAGGAAAATTAAATAGCAATGATTAAAATCTTATTTAACATTTCTCCCCTCCGTCCACAACCCTTTGATGGTCGAATTAACTTGAGAGGGAAAAAGACTCTACAACGAATTTGTTGCTAAAACTTATCCTGGCAAATGATAATAAAATAAAAAAGGGGGATAGGTTGACCTTTCTTACATATCAGAGAACATAAAATAAAAAATTAAATAAATAAAAATTCAAGGACCTTAAGGATCAAAAAATCGCATAAGTATTACAGCACATCACATATTTATTTCCTAAACCCTCAATGCTTTTAACGTAACATTGTTTCATCATTTCAAAATGAAAAAAAAAAGCCCATAAATTTGAAACGACTAGTTTTTTTTTCTTATTTTTTTTTCTGGCACCTTATTCCTCAGTTCCCGTTCGTCAACCTGTCCGTTTTCATATTTTATTCCTGCGTCACTACACGCTTCATGACACGGGCAGAACGGTTTGACATTGGGGCGCAATTTTATGGCCATGCCTTAATGCCTGTAATCTTGACACATAACTTTTCAACTTTGGCAGAACAAAGATTGGGATTACCGTGTATAAAGAAGTTAAAAGGTGGTAGTTTTAGCGGTCGTCACGTTTGCTTCTACATATATAGTGCAATAAACAATTTGAATCGTGGGATTATAGGTAATTTCAGTCATTTCCTTAAATCGCGTCTTTTAAAATATACAACGCATGCGCAATGACTCAGAGTAATTTGCGTTACATTAACCATAAAGAGGGAAATTTTTGTGGTTGTTGAAAGATGTGATATTATTCATTATTCTATTTAATTGAAGAGAAAATGTTTTCAGTTTTTTACAAAATAACGTTTGTGAAACGGTGAATTTTCAAGCTTAGGACCATCAAGGAGTTCGTTTTACGAAAAAGATGATTTTAACATGAAAAGTGAATTTAATAACAGAATCTGTTATGTAGAAAACATAGAGAGACAATATTGATATATTGAATATAAGAAAAAAGTTCACCCCATTTTTTAAATTTTTTTTAACAAAATTACTTTGGAAAATCAGAAAGATTTCACACATACTTTTAAATATTATTTTTGACATTCCGTTATTAGATGTTAACGTTTAAGTTTCAAAAGTTCAATTACTGGCAGTCATTCCGTTATTAGATTGTATCGTTTATGTTTCAAAAGTTCAATTACTGGCTGTCATTCCGTTATTAGATGTTAACGTTTAAGTTTCAAAAGTTCAATTACTGGCAGTGATTCCGTTATTAGATGTTAACGTTTAAGTTTCAAAAGTTCAATTACTGCCAGTCATTCCGTTATTAGGTGTTAACGTTCAAGTTTCAAAAGTTAAATTACTGGCAGTATCGCATTTTTTGTGTAGGAAAAATGAAAAAGTAATGATTAGAATGCTTAGTACACAAATTAAATTTAACATTACACTCTCGCAGAAATCGGTTCAACGTGAAGCTATAATCAATTAGCAAATTTCGATCAAAAACGGTGTAATTTGAACCACATTTCTGTTGAAGTTTAGTCTAGTATCGTATAATTAACTTTCAAAAAGATAAAATTTTCTCGATAAAATGTTTAAATTTGACACCGTATTTGCTTAAAGAAATTTGTACTATGCAGACAAACAACTTTTGAAGGAGGGAGGGGGTGGAATCAGGAGCATAGAATTCTTTTTTCAAATATCGTTCAATTGGGAAACTTATAATTCGGCTCTCATGGTGTCTTGATCGTATTAGGTTAGATTACTTAAGTCATAAAGTGAATTGTTTCTACTTGGGAGATACCTTGACAATAATCGCTAAGGCTGGAAGCAGACAAAATAT